CTAGAGATTAATACGTCTAATTAGATCTTAGATAGAGTTCTTTTATAGTATAATAAGAAAGGTATACTACGCCTAGTTATCTACTTTTCTAGTAAATATACTACGCTAGAATATAACTATAAGATCTATAATAAGAAGCTTCTTACTATTATTAAAGTACTTAAAAAATAGAGACCTAAACTATAAGGCGTTATAGAGCTATTTAAAGTTATTACTAACTATAAGAATCTAGAATACTTTATCTTAACTAAGACTCTAAGCTAGTAATAGGTCTAGTAGTTAGAGTTTCTCTTATAGTTTAATTTCTAAATAATATACTAACTAGACTTAAAGACTATATAGCCTAATATACTAAGCTAGAAACCTAGAGACTACTCTAATAAAATAGATATAAATAATAACTATATTAAGAATAAATAGCGTATAATACTAACTCTAGAATAATTTAATCTAATTATACTAGTAGACCTATTTAAGAATACTAAAGATACCTAGAATCTATACACTACTCTAATTAATATTATTCTACTAGCTATAAATAAGCTAATTAATAATCTAGTTAATCTAGTGTATTAAAGATTAGATATAGTCTAGATAATAGTATCTACTCTTTAGAATAAATAAGTTAAATAATAGCTAAGAGTATTATAAAAAAAGCTAAAAATACTAATACTAGACTATAGAATCTTTAATAGGCGAATCTATTACTAGAATTAACTATTTACTCTACTAGATAATAAGTTATAAACTTAAATTCTCTACTATACTTACTCTACTAGCTCTACTAGATATCTAGAATAAGTTAAAATAGTTAATCTAGTTATAAGAAATTACTAGTAGTCTAGAGTAACTAGAGATATTAAAGAATATATTAAAGCTTATAAGCTATATATATAGATTAAGAGTTTATATCTTACTTCTTAAGAGTTTCTTTAGCTACTACTAGTACTATTCTACGCTTAGTTAGATATATCTATTAATTATATTACTCTACTACTATTATGTAAAAAGAATAGATAAACGTATAAATATCTACTAGTAGTTATCTACTATCTTATAAAAATATATTACCTTATTCTAGTATTCTTCTTATTAGTAGAGAAACTAGTAGACGTATTTATAAGCCGTGTATATTACCTATATAGTATACTAAATAATATAGTATTAAACTAAGATATATAGTTTATTTCTAAATTCTAGTATTACCTTTCTAAAAGACTAGGTATTAAGCTAAAGTATTTATTATCTTTTTACTCTAAAACTAATAGCTAAATAGAAAGAGTTAATAGTAGTATTAAGTAGTACCTTTATATATTTATAAACTTTTATTAAGATAATTAGATATAATAGCTACTTCTTACTAAATTTATAATAAATAATATAATATTAGAAACTACTAGTATATTTTTATTCTTTATAAACTATAGCTATAACTTCTAGCTAGACTTAAAACTATTATAACTATATCTACTAAACCTATCTATAATATAGAAATACTAATTCTATTACGCTAATACTATAACTAATTACTTTAAGTATATACTTATCTAGCTAAAAGCTATTATCTAGTAGTTAATTAACTAGTATAAATAATATACAAATAATTACTATAAGAATATACTACGTTATAAGAAAGACTAGAAAGTTTATATTAATATATGTAATATAAAAACTAATTACCTAATAAAGAAAAAGAATAATAAGATAGCTAGACTATATAAAGTTAAAAAAGTCTACTTACGTATCTATTTGTTAGACCTACTACTATTAATAAAAATCTTTCTAGTATTCTACTATTCGCTTCTCTAGCTCTAATATAACGTTAAGAGTCTTCTAGAATAAAAAAAAATTAATAAGGCTAAGTTACGCTATCTACACAAGAGAATTCTAGAATAGAAAAATAGATTAGATAAAGTAACTAAGTAATAGAAATTTAATAAGCTACTTAATAGCTATAATAACTATAGAGATTTATAATATCTTATTAAATAGAAATACTATAAGCTATTCTAGTAGCTAGAAACTAATCTTAGAGGCTAGAATAAAGTAATTCTAGCTTTCTATAGTATATATTCTAGAAAGCTAGAACTACTAATATAGGTAAAGAAGTTAGCTAGATTCTAATAATAGTAGAGAAAAAAATTATTCTAGAGTAATTTAAGCTATTTAAGATAAATAGTAAAGTAGAAGAGATATACTATTATAGTACTAATATAAGGTTAGATCTAGACGCTACTTATATAAGTTTATAACTAGCGTCTTAGTATCTATATAGATATCTCTTATAGCTTACTAAGTTTTCTACTTCTTATAGTATAATATAGTTAATTACTCTTATATTTACTTTATAATATTATAAGTAGATTTTAGTAATTATAATAGTAAGAGTAGTAGATAATATATAGATTCTACTATATCTTATTATTATAAGTAAGAACTATCTTTTAGTATAGTATAAAGATAGCTAGCTACTATATAATTAAGTTATAGCTATCTCTAAAAGTAGCTAGATAATAAATAAAGTTAGTATTATATAGTTAAAGTACTTTAATGTGTATACTAAAGGTTATATTATAGATATATATTATCTACTAATTTTAGATAGCTATAAAAGCTATAGCTTTATTAAATTCTAGTAGTACTATAAGAAAAATAAAATTATAGTTTTTTATATACTAGTATATTTATTATATCTTTTATAGCTACTTAATATTAGCTACTTCTTACTATTAAAGATAGTATATAGCTACTAAGTTAATAATCTAATATATAGCTATATTAACTATATTATAAAAATTAAGTTTCTACTTATATTTTATATAACTTTTTATATATTAATTATAGATAATAATATTAGAGTAGAGTTTAGAGATACTAGCTTAGTTCTATTTAATCTAGATTTAGTAGTATTAAAGCTTAAAGTTTAATTATATATACTAATACTTTCTACTAAAAATACTAGTATCTAGAAGTATAAAATACCTAGTAATTATATTAAAGTAAGGTTCTAATTAACTCTAATTTAATTAAAGATTATATAGTATCTTAATTTATTACTAACTTATATTATTAAGTTACTTAATTAGCTTAAGAAAGATAATAAGCTAATAGTATATTAGCTAGTATTTATAGAGTCTAAAGTTACCTAGCTTTAAGTAGCTAACGTATAGAAAAAGAAGTATAATTTACGTAAAAGAAAGTAGATTTAGAAAGAGAATACTCTTATAATTAAAGCTAGCTTATAGCTAGTTACTTAAAGAGAGACTATAGATTAGAATAAGAGTAAAAAGTAGCGTAAAGAAGTAGTAGTATATAATAGCTAGCTAGCTTAGTAATACTATAAACGCTATAGTAAGCTAGAGTATAACGCGTAAACGTACTAGATAGTTAAAGATAATATAGATAAGTTAGATAGCTTATCTAGATTTATCTTAAGTAGCTTAGAGCTAGAGTAATCTAATTAAGATAGTAGCTTTTTAGTAGAGGCTTAGTATTTTTAGAGCGTTTAGTAATATAAGGCGTTCGCTAATAAAGCACGTTAGAGCTTATTAACTAATAATATAGTAGCTT